TTTTTCTCAAAGGACGTTTAGAAATTATAACAGCCATCATCTTGATTCTATGGGGGAATTCCTGGCACTATTGACTACTGCATTTTTTAATACTTCTTTTAGCCAAAGCTATTTCTTTACCATGACCACTAGTCATTATTTAAAGCTAACATAAAAAATGAGGGACCAAAACATACACGAAGGATTCCCCCCAGCCTTTGCTTCCGACAATCACAGAACTGACAAAGCACTGGAAGTTTTTTCTGGAAGAGAAGGGTATTAAATAAAATAAAGCTGCAAGTTTAGGAAGCTAAGTTCCAGCATAAGAGCTGTTAACATATCACACATTAATATACACTATTAGACCCTCTTGGGGATGGAATTTAAGAGCTGTCCATTGATCCAGGCTTTCATATGCATCATAATTGTACAGCACAGAGGCTGTAACCCATTACAAGGCCCTTTAAGCTGTTTAATTTATCAAGCAGCTTGTATAATGCATCCTGCACTATAAATAGCTGGCTGCATTATTCTTAACTGGCTATTCATAAGGAAACATACAACCTCAAAATAAGGTAAACGCAAAGGCAGGAACCGTATTTGACGATTTTTAACAGAGCAATGAACCATTACATTGTTCATGCCAGGGTGGATGTTTTGTAACAATTTAACAAGCCATTTACAATAACAGGAGCAGTCTTTTGAAATGAAAATGCATTTGCATAATTTTTTTTTTTCAGATGCATCCACGTTCTGAAACCTTGCCTGCCTCCACACAGAACTATTACTTTTAAAAAAGTGATTGTTAACAAAGATTCATAAAAATAAAACAACCAATCTAAAAAATACAGCAGTTACCCACTTTTTTTTACAAAGCCATACAAAAACACCCAAGTCACAGCTGTGTGTAAGGAACAGTGCATGTTCTTCCAAAAAGCCTTGACCAGCATAATTCTCATGCTTGATTTGAATAAATTATCTCTTGGGCTAGAAAGACAACTCTGTGCAAGCCTCACTCTTCAGTACAGCCTTCACACTGCAGGTCCTCTGCCAGACTTACGTGCCAAACCCAGAGAGGTTGGGGAGTTTCCTCTGGAGATGTCCAAAAGCTGTCTGAGACACAATTCTGAGGAACGTGCTCTGGGGAATCCAGCTTGAAAAGAAAGGACCAGATGAGCTCTAGTGGTCCCTTCCAACCTTTCCCATCCTGTGTCCAGGTACCACTTGTGATGGAGACTTTCTTAATCCACGCAGTGACTCCCAGCATCTACAGGAGTCTACAATTTCTCTTCCAGTTGGCATTTCCAAACTGTAACAACTCCAACTTGCATCGACAAAGGAAGTCACTGCAGACCTGAGAGCTCGCTGTATCACTTGGTGACACTTTTAATCTGGTCAGTTGTGGGTATCACACTCCCCCCGCGGATTCCAGGGAATAATAACTCAATTGTCGCAAGTTCTGAGCGCGGCGCATCGCCATTGATCCATGAGGAAAATGCTCTCTGAAATGGAGACAGCTGTTCTCACTCACTACACAGGCAACCTCCTATAATTAACTAATTTCAGACCTCTTGGAATTAGCTGCTAGAAATGCCAACAGCTGAGGCAAGCAAGGAGGCCACTCCAATCCACAACGGGGGCTGCGACAGCCATCCACCGACAGAGAGCTAACGAAATAGATTTGAGGTAATTATTTCAGGGACTTGTAGCACCACTCGCATATTAACTCTTTTTAAGAATGCTTTGATGAATTCAATTGAAGTCAATTAATTACATTTCCAAGTCAGATGAATACAAAGTCGAGACGCCGCAGGAAGTGTGTGTTATTCCATCACTGAATATGTAACAGAGATGACAGGATTTCAGTTCCCAGATTGTTAGCTGGGTCTTTGAGCAATCAAGTGATGATGTCTGACTGAACAGGCTACTGTCCCTGGAACAAATATGAAATCTCTTAAGCAAAATGCAAGTCAACCTAATTTCCTTGTGGGTTTTCGTTGGTTTGGTTTTTTGTTTTTGTTTTTAACTAGCAAGCTTCAAACTGTTATTTTAAATGGCTTTAAAGCTTGATATTTAAGTCACTTGGATGTTACTTAGTGACAAAGAATGAAACATTATAAGCCAAAAAATAGTCTTTAACCACAGGGAAAACCATTTTGAATTTACTACTGTCAACAGAAAAAGTGAGAATAATAGAGAAGATTTAAATCAGTAACTATGCATTTCTTGAATCCAGTACAGAGACAAAATCTCAAAGCAACCTTGAGGCATTATATTTCTGACAGCTTCATTTCTGACCATTAGATGAAATATTAAAATTTACCTTTGTGTAGCAGCGTTAAATAGCACTATAATCAAGATGCAAAATATGTAATTCAGTTGAAAAACACACATAAAAGAATTGTTGGAGCATCTGAAATTATAAAGAACCACAAAAGTGTTTAAAAGGAAGAGGGAAATACAGCCAAAAAAAGGTAGAACAAATACAATGTCTTAGCAGAGAGAAGTATTGAAGAAAACACTTTCCATTGACAAAGCAGTCGCCACCTTTATGACTCATTGATTTCAACACGATTCAAGATCATTTACCATCCTGAAAGTGGAAAATTCACATGGGAAGAATATTGCTACAAGATAAAACCAAGTAATACCTAGAAAGTATCCAGAGTACAATGACATATTGACAAAAGGTACAACGGATTATCTAAAAGGCCTTTTTATATTCAGCTGATAAGAGTTAGTTATTCTGCTATCAGGATGAATTTATTATCAACACTGTAAAACATGAACAGAACACCAAAGTGACTGGGAAAGAATTCTCACCTGACCAAAATCTCAGGTAAATATCTCAAATCAAAAAGCTCCTCAGGCAAAGATGAGGCTGAAATTGTGATTATTCATTACTTACAAACTGGAATTTGTCAAGTTTCATAAATTCCCTTTATCTCCAGCAAGCCAAACATGACCAGAACTACAGGAAGACTTCCTGGAATGGTCTTTGGCAGCAGCCTCATGAGAGTGCTATGACTAAGAGTGCCAAGTATTGTGGTATGAAATGTAAATATGCTTGAAATAGAGGAGCCAGGATGCACCGTTTTGCTTTTTTATTGCAATGTCATCTGATCTTTCAAATCTTTTGAATTTTTTAGTCCATCGACTCGTAGCTGTCCTAAGTGACCACCTTTCCCAGTGGCTCAGGTGATGCTGTAGGAGATGGAAGGTTCATTAATCACCCTGGTGCTGGCAGTGCCTCACTCCAGCCACCACGATTCCCTCAATCCCTGCCCCACACACACCAAAGATACACCAGTGCCACAGCACAGTCATTCTGCACTAACAGCAAGCCCATTTGCCTTGGAAATGTGGAGCATGTGCAGCCTGGGAGGGACTGTGCTGTGTGGTTCTCTCTCAAAACCCACCACAAACAGCCAGAGTAGCTGTAAAAGGGAGACAGCACTGCCATAAACTCATCAAAGAGAGGGTTTTATCTGCCCATAAAACTTCAAGCTGTTTATTGCCTTGTATCTGGACAGAACTATTGAAACACATGCTCCATCGGCACACAGTCATCTCAGTTTCACAACAAAGCCTTGCAGAACAGCTTGTGAAAACATATTGTTCAGTTAATTGCATTGGCATGCAGATGCCCTCACATTTATGAGTTAACATCCACTGTGGCAAAGGGATGGACAAGGAGACACAGGGACTGTGGCATGTGGCCCTGTGCCTGCCAAGAGATGTGCTGCCTGATGGAGTGCAGCCCACGAGCTCTGGGCTTCCCTTTCCTGCTTCTGTGGCTACGGAGGCTTCGCTGCTGCTGAAAAACAAAAGGAGCCTTCAGGCAGAAAGTCTGTGCATCTTAAGGATATGAGGGTGCTTAAAGCTTCAAGCAGTCCTTCATAAACAGCTGACTGCCACCAAGGCACCTGAGAAGCCCCCAACAGCCTCAAGGATCTCTGCATCAGTTCACTGCGTGCGAAAAGGAAGAAAATCCGTGCCTGAAAAAGTCAATGGCAAAGAAACAGCCCAACCACAGTGGGACTCTGAAAGGTATCCAAGCATTTGTATGGGTTGCAAGAGTGTTATACTTCATCAAAGCCATGCTGCTCAGGAGGAGGTGAAGGCAGGAAATGAAACACAAGATTTTATTTGACATGTTCTTACCGAGTATATTGATACGCTACACAAAATATTATGGAAGGAAATTACCTGTGTCAGCACTAGTATAAATACCTGTCCAATAACCACTCAACTTTTGGTAATGGCCCTGTTAACATGGGGGCAATGAATATATGTTTGTCACTTAAATACATCAAGCAAGTCTATTAAAAAACCCCTCCGAGATTAAACCTGGCACCTCTTTCAACGCTGATCAGGGAGAAACAATAGATCTGAAATCATGTGGTTTGAGGCCAGAGGCTTTTCATAATACAGAACTTGCAACTTCTTTCTGTCTTGCACACTTAGGAAAACACAGAGCACTTCGCAGTGGCTTGAACCCCTGCATAATTCACAAAGTTTTGAGTATTTCATGACATGACAAATTGTTCAGGCACCTTGCTGTCATACCATCCTGCTGCTGCTGCCTCAAATCTTCCCCCAAGGGCTTGAGGAGGAGACACTGGACAGAAATAGCGTGTGTTGGGAGGGGAGAGCTGTCACTCCCTCAGGACTAAGACCTGTCCAGAGGAGTGTCACCCCCAGGGTTTACCAGCCGGTTGTTATGGCAGCCATGCACCACTGACAGAGGTCTCCCCTGCAAACATTTCCTACGGCATTCAGCCCTTTCTGCAGCTGGAATACTGTTCCTCACCCACTCTGCTTGTGTGGGCCCTCTCCCACAGCAGACCAAGGGGAAGGATGTGTTGAACCAACTGCCACAGTAATAACTATGTTTCACTAAGCAACTTTCTATAGCTCTGTCTCTGTAGAGACATAAATATCTCCAGATTCAACTGTGCTGGCAGGATCCATTAAGCCTGACATCCCTCAGAAAATAATTTACTTTCCTAGAAAATAACTAGGCCATGAAATAGTTGAAGGACAAGCGACAACTGCTGTGTGAGGAACGCTGCCAGGACACAGGTGGGAGAGCCTACCTGTGGACACGGGCTCCACTGTCCCCAGTCAGACACTGCACACTCACTGGGACAGTACAAGCTACACTTCTGCACTGTCTCTGGGACCTCAGCCTGACTGCACAGAGCGTTGGGCACAGTCTCCACGCCGTGGTCCTCAGCAGTGCTCACACACCTACACAGAAAACACACATTTTAATTAGAGTATTGCAGACACAATGGGTATCAACAAGTTTTCTCAACCCCGTACAGGACATAGATATGACAATAGCTACAGGCAGCATGGGTGGTCAAAAAGTAGAATTAATATGTTAATGCAAATGGAAATCAGCTACGTGCACAACATGCTTTTGTTACTTCATACAGAGGGATTTTAACTTTGATCGGCTGACAAAGGAGCAAACAGAAAGTGACAACCAGCGAGAACAAATCTTAGTGCTCCTGCTAGTAACATCTGAACATTTGGAAATAACTCAGCATTTCCCCATGCCTGGGGAATGAATATTCAGTAATAATGAATGCCACGCTGGTGTGTGCAGTGCTATTACTTGGGGAAGATGTTAGCAAATCAAAATATGGAGGCTTTGCACCTCAGGGAGTTTTATGTATACATGGCATTTAGGTTGAAGAATACTAATTTAAATAGCATGGTGTGTTCCTGAAAGACCAAAGCTGCATCTCTGAAATGCTTCTCCTGTAAACCATGGTACATAAACATGTTTCTTTTCATCTGCAATACACTGGACTCAGCAACATACTCACTGTCAGATGGCAAACATTGCAGCTTTATGCAAGAACATACCAGCTCTTTTTGATCTGGAATACCTGAGCTTTCGTCTTCACGCACCTGACTTTCCTCGTTTGTATTCCTTCTCCACAGTGGAGGGAATTTTGTTCGCTGTTGATTTCACATGGAGACCATGGTCCTACTTCCCAGGAATACTGATTGCACTCACTGTAGCATGGGACTGCCTCGTGCACCTGACAGGAGAAAGAACCAAACTCTTCAGCTGAACTGTCCAGGTTAGCAGGTCTGCAGAATTGCTTCAGCCAAACCCACAAAAAGACACACTGAAAAACATCCTGGCTTACACTCCTCATGCTAAGGCTGTTGTAATGGCTTTAAGCTCATTTACTCATTATTGACTTGCCAAGGGATTTTTAAGTATATAATGAACAGCAGTATGCATGCAGCATCTTCGGAAGCAGGATAAATAACAGCTATTTCCTGCAGCCAGGAGAGGAACTCCATTACAATTTCATTTGCTCTGCCTGCTCTCAGTATAATCTATCACATGTCATTCACCAAGATCGTATGTGCCACATCCTTTTGCGTTTCAGAAGGAACAAACTTAAAATCAGCACTCATTTACCTTTGCTTCTAACGCATTCTTATAAGCCATTTACCATAAAAGAATGAAATTTCACGCATCCTACAAATTTCATTTTTATACACAAAAATGGTAAATGCTATTTTGCCTGCAAGTGACTTATCTCTAACATATCTCCTAATCAAACACGACAGTGTGTTCACCTGAACTATGGTATCTACATAGAGAGAAAAATACAGCCAAAAGCTTGATCAAAGGTGCCAGATATTCAGGTTGTTAAAAGCAGCACACTGAGATATAACACTTCAGCAGATTTTTAGGTTTAAATAAATGAATGCATCAACAGTTCTATTACAGTGATGAATAAAAGTTATTTATTTTGAATTTGGTTTGTCTGCAGAAGCTGATTTGAAGATACAGTATTCCCTGTTGCTTTGCATGAAGCATAATGTGCTGCCCTGGAAAAATACAACACACCTAAAATTTCTTCTTCCACACACCAAAACCTCCTCAGCCTGCTGTGAAGCCATTTCATTCTCACCATTAGAATAACTATAAATCAATAACCTTCTTCCCAACTATCCCACAAAAAGACTCAGACACATGTTTAATAATTTCCAGCTTCATTTTAAAATAGCACATTATGACTAGACATGTTGTGGCTACAACTATAAGGAAACTCTCTTTTGTAACGTTTTGGAGGTAGAAGACAAGAAAATTGAGATACCGGTCAGAAAACTAAATTGTGTCCCATCAGAAAATCACCTTTATTTCAAATTGAAGGAAGACAACTTGCAAAGGAAAACTCCTCCAAAACAGAAAATGTCAGAAACTAAATTTAACTGTGGGTCTGCCTATAGATTGTGCATAGGTTTAGCAGAGAAGGAAGAATAACAGATGATGAAAAGTGTAAAATACATAAAGGTGAAAAGACAGGAAGGAGGGAAATCAAAGTCTGAACTGGTGAGGGCAAGGGCAATATGAACTAGCAAGAACATCACATTTCACACAGAGGAGAGGAAAGGGAAAGGAACAAAGGGGAAAAAGGCAGTCATTAGCACCATTTCCCCTGCATATTATTAAGCACAGATTACAAACCTGGACATGGCTTTGAGCAACCTGAACTAGCAGAAGGTGCCCATGATGGGGGAGTTGCAAACATGGATCTTTAAGGTCCATTTGAAGTGAAAGCACTCTCTGGTTCTGTGTGGACTGCACACCAAGGCCCTGGCATTTGGCCTGACTCCAGCATGCACAGGTGTCTGTGTGCTGTACAGACTGCACACACAGCAAAGCTTCTCACACTGAGCAAGCAGCACCACAAGCACTGCTAATTAGCTGAGCAGCCAGGCTCGTTATCATTAATGGTGTACATGGGAGCACAGAAAAGCAGCACTCACCGAGCCTGGGCTCAGCAGCAGGCAGCAGGGAGCCCATGGGTGCTGGGACACAGCTGAAGCCTCCATCCTGCCCTGCCAGCCTCACCTCCACAGCCCTGCACACACCGGGGACAGCAGCAATCCCTCTCCAGGCACTGCAAAGCCTTTGTGTTCCCCACAGACATCCATCCAGGAGATGGATGTAGAGTCGTGGAGTATTTATTAGTTTCCCTGCTCCACAGGGCAAAGGAAAAACTACAGCCTGCCATGCACAGGAGACGATTAGTGGGGGAAACAGGTGCTAGAAGCATGATTGGGTTTTTCCTCATCACAGAGGGAATGAGCAAAGAGCCAAACTTGGGCAAAACCAGCTGCCAGGGGCCAGTCCAGGGAGAAGGTTCCTCACAGGGCAGTGTCAAGGATGGTAAAACTTAGTAAGTTTTATAAAGAGCTGGGTGGCCTGTTCCTGCTGTTTAGACTTCTGGAGAGGAAGCTGATGTTTGGGGCAGGCAGGAGATGCTGCCTTCCCTCCCTCTCTCCACAGGCATAGCAGGGCAGCCAGGCCAGCAAAAACAGCAGCTTTGGAAATTTAAAATTCTTTTTGTTGCTCTATTAAATAACCCCTCCTCAGGGTTAGAGCATACCACTGTGAAACCTGCAGGTTCACAGCACTGCCAGGTTCAGCACTTGCCCTCCAGAAGCCAGGGTGAGGCCTGAGCTTGGGAAACCCATTTCCTTGTCTCAGTGACCTCTGATTGTTCTGCTTTAACATCTGGTAAACATCAGACCTCTCCTAACCAGCAAAGCCCACGTGTGGATAGCAGCAAAGGCTTAACATCAGGATTTACCATAAAGGTGTTTTAGTGGTCAAAACCTCCTGTGGCATGTACTTGCTGTAGGAACTGTGTAGGAAAACCAGACAGAGTTGGGCATGGATACCACGTGAACTAAAATCTATCTGAGGAATCCTGTGAGCCAAAACAGAAATCCCATGGCACTGACACAAATGCACAGAATGTGAAGTGATACTTCAAATGTGCTCTTTAAAGAGCAGGGAGGATCACAATTACAAAACAGGGCACTTCTACTCTGCTGTCTGACTGTGTCAAACGAGTTTGATCATGTGTGAAGTGCCATCATCTCTCTCCAAAGACAGACAGACAGACTGACAGACAGACACACCACTTTGTGCTGGAGGAGGGAGGACACAGCACTGGCTGCATGTCCCTGTGGTACCTCAGATCCCCAGTGATCTGCTGCTGACGTGTGCAGCACTTCCTCCTTGGTCAGGATCACCAGCTTACACTCACCACCAAAAACCTGAATTATAATTGTCACAAATAACCTGTTTTCCTACGCTGTTGTGCTGACACCACAGCACATCGTTCCTGTGAACAAGTTCTCCCCTCTGCCCTGCATCAGTGCTGAGCAATGCCATCTCTGGCAGCACCTCTGGGACACTGGGGAGATGTAAATAACCACCTGCGTCACTGGGAGGAACAGATTTCTTCAGAACAAGTTACAACAGGCACCCGTGGATGCCATTAAGCTTTCAAGTGGGAATCTCGAGAAGATGCAAGATTTCCACAGGTGGAACTCTGTGGGAATGAGTTCAGGAAGCTGTGAATACAATTTGTAACTCCATCTTTGCATTTAAAAACCACAGTGATGTGGCATGTGGTCCTTTCCTCCACAGGAGAATGTTTTCCTCCCATTTTCTCTCCTGACTTGCCATAATTCGTTTTCAATCATCTTCAAGTCATCATTTTTATTTTTTTTAAATTTGGAAAATAACCTACAACAAACCTTAAGGCCTTTCATTCCTGTTTTGCTAGGAGCTGTGCTACTTAAAGAGGTTAAAGAGACATGCTCTTGATTTTTCATTTTCAAAGGGTTTTGACTAAGCACTGATGTTCTGTGGGTCCCACAAAACAGAGGACCCTAGGTTCACTTTTCCTGGGTCTATGGGAACACCCCTGTCCCAACCCTGGACAGGGGCTGGGATGGGATGTGGTGTCCTCACTCCCTCACCATCCCGGGAATCCAAAGCACCCAATCCTGGACGGAGTCGGGATGTATTCCCACGGATCCTGGCTGTAACAGAGTGCATCCAACCTTCAAATTACACATGGTCTACGTCTCCTGGCCCCCATCAAGTCTGCCATCCACTACCTCTGCTGCAGATACAGAAGTCCCTTGTGAAGCTAGGACTTCTCTTCCCAAGCACAAAGACAACAGTTCCTTTGAAAATAATCTGCTTAATGCTCATCCTTCCCCCAGCTTATGCAAACCTGCTATGACAGTGCATTTACAAGCCCCTTCCCACTGAGCCCCCCACCCATGTACGGAGCTTTAGTGCCACAATCCATGTCCCGAAGGACAAAACTAAAATTAATTCTATGCAATAGGCACAGGAACCCGATGTTCTGCATGGAGGCAGAAAGATGCTGGAAGCTGCAGACACTTGACCTGCAAGGAGCTGCAGAGATCAGCACCCAGGGTGACCAGCCTGGCTTCATCCCTTACTGCCTCAAGAAATAAACACAGGCTTCTGGCATTTTAGCAAATTAACTGCTTTCCTCAATTGTTATTCATATTTACATGCTGGGCATTGAGCACTGGGCTCAATGAACCAAGGGCTGAAATGATGCCTGTGAAGCCAAGGGGAGTTTTGCTGCTGCCTTTCACAGCATCACTGTATCACTCTTTATAATCAGAGTTAACCTGGAATACTGCTTTAACACCTGAATCCAAATAACAAGTAGATTGGCGCAGTTCTCAATGAATTAAAGAGAAGGACAAAAACTACTTTTTAAGAGACAGACTGCTAAAGCTTACCCTAATAAAAGAACCCAGTTGCCATTCACTCAAATGCAAATCCTATACCCCTGCTAAAGCATTACTGACTTAGACAGTTACTTCAACAAGATATACAAATATTAATCTATTTAATTTCTCTTTTAATAGATGATACTTGCATTTTAATGAAAAATCTAAATATCTAACCACCAAAGAGCTTTAGTGTGATTTATAATGTTCTCTAATGTACTTATTTAAATGTAGGCTTGCAATGGACTTATAGAAATAAATGCACTTGCTCAGCAGATGTGATTCATTAAAAGAAATTCACACCTATACTTCAGGTAGCCTGTCTGATGAGCATCTGCAGAATAAACTAGAACGAGGTTCAACACTTCTGAAAATCATAGTGACTTCATATTTCAGTGAACATCAAGATTTATTGTCCCTCAAGGTAAATATTGACTCTGGT